GTCTATATCTTCGACATATAATGATACTTGAAGGGAAAGCATAATCTATCTTTCTCTATCCCTTTTCAGTCAAGTGGTCACTTAGACGGGTATGTCACCCTCCTCTGGATTGATTTAATCCAAATGTGAACGTGTCAATGTAAATATACAATGTAATTTAAAACCACTTGATTAAAGATAATAAAAATATAAAAAAATACTTCATATACATCTCTTTAATGAAATTCTATTGAGACATTTAATATCCACAATCTTTAGGTGCATCAAAATAGAGAAGTATAACTTTTCATATTTGAATCCAGGGCGTTGTGAGAATAATTAGGACCTCATTATCTCAGTACACATTCTAACAAAGAACTATTTCATGTCATATAGGCTTTACACTTGGTTGATTAGTAATATCATACCAAATATATGTCTCTTTGTCAAATATTAAATTTTATACCTGGATTACTTGTACGCATTTAGGCCAATATTCTCATTGCTTTCATATTGCAATAGATTATGGTTCGATATCATCGTGCTCTATGCTCCTTTGAGCAACTGTATAAATATATCGTCAATATAAGTGTAAGGTCTATCACTCGACTCATACACACTCTCATTAACATTGAGATTTTAATTCTCTGAAATCATTTAAACTTTGGGGCGTCCCCCATTATAAATTCATGGACATGTTGAATCAGAGATAATCTCATGAGAGGAATTCATATGATGACGAGTATATTGGTTTGTGCCTTATCTACCCTCTACTACTTGGGGTGGATAATTAATCAAACCATGTGGCTTCCCTCTATTCCTTTAGAGAGCCACGGCCTCAACCACAACACCACTGCTTGTGATTGCAATGCTTCTTACTTTAGCATTGTTTCTTTTAATTTAAATTCAAGCCTTATAAATATGTTTGCAGCTAGTGTGTATAATCTGATTACTTAAATCATTTATGATACCACTTTAACTTCAATGTTACATTTTGAAGTCTAAGATTTATCATTGAGACAAAGTAGTGATGTGCCATCATAATGATTTTGTCATTCAATTAGAGAGTTCTTTCACTAATCTCCCCTAATGACAGGAAAATCAATTGTCTCATCAAAGTCATATCCCGCAAAGCGGTGTACACATTATTTGTTAAAGCTAGTAGCGGATTATTGTTGGGGATTCATATCCAACATAAACATCATTTTTCTTTTAAAACCGATTATAGTGCGTTGTGGGAGACGCACTAGGCACAACTATTTAACAACCACATAGTCATAAGTAGAACATCTCAGGCTAATATCCAGTCAGTAACTGGTATACATAAACGTGGTTGTCTAGTATCGGTTTTAAAAAAAAGTGTAAGAGTGCTTGCATATTGCATAATCCCATAAAAAATATTATTGTGCGCATAATAGATATAATATTCACCATCAATATTCTTTTAGATGTGATTTTTACTGAGTTCTTTTTTTCCATTGATCTCGAAAAATATGCAATAATCATCAAATACTTTTGATGAGAACTGTCTAGCAGTATCAAGTCATATAGACTTGATTGGTCGGGTGGTGGACCCTTAAACAAATAAGTTTTGCTAGAAGTTTTACAAATGCAACATTTTTATGTAACCGAAAAATAGATAGTATGCGTAAATTTCTACCAAAGCATAATTACTTAAATGACCCGCATTTTGGTAGATATGTTCTCATGTGTCAAATTAAAAAAATGAGATATCTTCATTTTTATATCATTAGCATAGACAAATCTCGATTCCATTGTTACTAAGGAGTAAACTTTAAGAAATAACTGACGTGCCTTCTACTATATCTGTAAGGCGTAACGAAAGGTAAATATTTCTTCTCGTACTTTAGAAGATTGATATTGCTTTCTATTTATCAATGCTAAAACCAACAATTTACATGGTGTTGGATCCTATTTCATCCTTTATTCGAATGATTAATAACTTGAATGAGTTATTTCAATGTTTGTATGAGTCAATGACCATTTTGTCTCATAACCTGCTTAAATATGCATTTTCTTTTACATTTATTATCACAATATAATATTGTTTTTCTATCTCATTTTTATTATAGTGAATTTCTATGTGAAAACCCATAGAGGGTAGCTCGGTGGACATTGATGTCCTCATAATGTGAGGGTTTAGGGAAACCCCACAAAGGTGTATAAGGGGCAAGTTTTTCTTGTCACATTGACAAGACACCACTCACAAGAATTGAACCCATGACGTGATTTCATCTATATAAAATCATTGTGGTGAACAAATTTAAAACATCGTAAACTTTGACAACTTCTAGATGTATTTAGAGGTCAAGGAGAACACAATTCTATTCATTTAGAAATTAAATATTTAGGCAATTCATCGCCCTTAATCGATCATAAATGAAAATAAGGAATTACTTCAATAAATAAATATTTATTCCTTAATTTATTGTGTTTAATCACAATTGACTAAAACATTTATTTGTAATAGGTTGTAGTGATTTGTAAATTTCACTCATATACTTTAGAGTGTTATGATCTCAAATATAATGAGGTACACATCATTCTACTATGTTATGGATATGGTAGTGAAACAAATCAATTTGAAATCTCATATGCACAAATCATTAAAAGTAGTCTAATTAAAAACAAGTTAAGTCGCTATATAAAAAAAACTATTGTCGATTGATATATACATTTAAGGAATGAAAAGATGACCATTAGATTCATTCATCAAGGATGGTACATATTCCTGATTTTTGATGTAGTAGGTATCCATAAAACTAAGTTCATGGTATCCTCGATCTTATGCAGTAGCTTTCAATCATTTCATCTTCACTTAATACCTTAACACAAAATTTAAGACATGATTTGAGACATTGCATATCCTTATTAAAATCATTAACTTTCTTGAAGTCAATGAGGGGGAATTTCATTCCACAATTCTTATATGTTCCCAAAGTGTCGTTTCATTGCATTCCTCCATTCTTTGGGGGTTAAATTCCATGAGTAGGCTGAGGTTATAATGGCGCCTATGAAACATTAAGACGTTACCTTAGTTTTCAGATGGTGCACTTTCCAACTTTGAACGTGATAGATTTGTTTTGTCCAGAAAGGTAAATTTGAACATTAATTATATATCGATGGTACTCGAGTCTTTCTGAGTCCAGAAAACTAAAATTCAAGTCGAGATTGATCAGCCATCTTAAAAAATAATAATTGTGTGTGTACTTGTATTGGACACTTGTATATGATATCAAAATAGAAACTTGTGTATGAAATAAAAGATGTCTTTGTGTGAGAACTCTATCACACAAATAGTTTAAATGTCATGTAACAATACACAAAATAATGCATCATATATAGCATTGATATAATGTCTGGTATTTGGTTGATGACACGGTAAAGCATTATCAAATCAATTTGCTAGTTTCAATAGATGCTTATACATTCAGTAACAGGAAAGTGAAAATTTTGGCTAGACAATACTGTGACAGTCCATAGCCAATTAGGCAAACATATTCATGTATGACACACCTCAAAATTGAAAACAGGGCCAAAGGGATTCAATTTCTCAAAATCTAGAATTTTAATGGGGTTAATTCAACTAAAATGGGATTTGGATAGTCATAAATTTTGATGTAGCTGGTCTATGTGAATGTTACCAAGAAAACAATTGTATATAAAAAAATACCTGGGATTTGGAATTTGAGAGAAGGTGAATGTGAATATGGCAGAGAAGAAGATTTCATACGACTCACAAATCAGAATTGAGGCCGATATTTCACTTGGCGAGGTCTGGGTGCTGTTCTTCTTGAGTGTGTACACCAGATCTAATCTTCGTGGATGTCTTGGGATACTTTTGTAGCAGCAGCAGCGAGTACATGCTCCTTTTTGTTCGCAAGTTGGTAATAAACTCTAGATGAAAGTTTAGGCGCTCACTAGAGAAATGTAGATTAGATCTTCTGTCTCATCGTTAGGAGATGTAGATACCCTCCAGCTGTGGCCGAAGGTATACGAAAGGCGAGCGATGTCGAAACTTGGAAGCTCGTCGACAGGTGGGCTGTTTTGGAAGCTCGTCGCTTTGACTTTAGGCGGTGGTGTTTGCATCGGCGGGATCCAGGGCAGCGGTGCGTGACTCAGTGGGGCAACCGACTCAGAAGGGGGCAGCCGGCTGAAGGGACCGTCGATGGCCTTTGTTGGAGGCAGCGGCTGAGCAACTCTCCAGCGACGACTTCCTTCTAGCGAGAACGAGTGGCATACAACGAGCGAGCTTCAATATGGATCCTTCTTTTAGAGGCGGCGCTTTTCTTCTCGATGAAGAAGATCATGGCGGCTGAAAAAGTGAGGTGGTTGGAGTGGAGGCCGACTGAGTGGGGTGGCCTGATGAAGGGGCGGCCGACTGAGAGTGGCGGCCGTTTGTGCTACGGCGGAACACAAGGGAGAAGGAGAGGGAAAGCTAGGGTTAGGATTAGGCTCCTGCTCTGTTGTAGGAGAAGGTTCGTAGAGTTTCATTATCGAGAGCCCTATAAATAGGGATAGAGTAGGGTTTACAAGTACGGGCCAATAGGCCCATAATACATCATTTACGTAGAAAAACTCTAATACATATTCTATCTAAACGATAGCACACAACATAGAATTTCCTTAAACAAAGTAATGAATTTGAAATGATAGCACGATTTATTCAATCCTTTTACCTTTAAGTTATATCTTCATAAAAATGGTTAAATAACAAAGAATGAACCCATGTATACACAAAACTTTTTAAACTGTTTACACACAATATATAATCCTATTCTAAAGTGTAATGTAAAGAAAATTAAAAAGATATTTGTTTCCTCACATATAGTTTAATATACTTATTTCTGCTATTTTTTTTTTAAATTTCAAGTGTGTTTACAATATTTTGTTTATCTTACAAGTTTAATTTTTTCTTAATGAAATGATAATATATTTTGTGAAAAACATGACAAATTGGAATTGGATCTAAATAAACCAAATCAATTATTAAAAGAACACTTGATATTAACTCGATAGTCATGATATGATAGGCTTAGAAAGATATTCTCCACAAAACAACCTCTGAAATGTAAAATTGAGATATCGAATGGAACCCAATACTTTGAGTTGTATTTTGGGCAAGAACTCCAACAAAGAAACATAACCCAGCTTCTGATATTCTTCTCCGCCTCAGCTTAGAACCCATAACTCAACCATGACGATAGCTTCTCAGCTTCTGATATTCTTCTCCGCTCCTTTTGTGCATTTGTGAGCACCCTCTGCGCTAGCACACAGGTATAATCTCATATCTCAAGAAATTCTTTTCCGTGTATAATTCTTTTCATCTGCTACTTCTACTTTCCGCTGCCAATCACCTCCCTCCCACCAATCCAGGCAATCCTTTTTATTAAATATATTTGACATTTTAATATATACTAAAGGTTCAACTTTTGTATATCTTTTTGTCTAGAGTTTCTTTAATCGCTTAAACTTCGGGTTGAAACTTGAAATACTTTTTAGGTCTGAAATTTTATGTTTGATAGTGTCTATAATGTGTTTGTAAAAATGCTTCTATGAGATTTTGAATTTAGATCATACTCTTGAATGAATTAGGTTTCCACTGAAGGTTCAATTTAAGTATACTTTTGTGTCTGTGTTTTGTTTAATTTCTTTAAATTTGAGACGGAGTACAAAAAAGTCGGTGTTTAAACTTTGTATTGTAATGTGTATAAGATGTTTGAAAAAATGTCTGAATGAGAGTTACATGGGGCATGGGCCACTTGATATTTCGCTTGTATTACATCATTTACATGGTAGGCATTTCACTGAAGGTTCAATTTAAAGTATACTTTTCTTTATACGGAGTATATGTCAGTTAGTCGGTAGTGCCTATCTTGTTGATTTAATTCAACTTACGGGTTTTCAAGTGTAAATTAACATAATTTTTCTGTTTGTACACACTGAGTTGTAAACGCCTTGTGTATGCGCCAGTTTTTTGTCAGGTTTTTTGTCTTTGAACAGACAAAATACCGGTGTGTATACACGCCGGTGTGTACAAGAAGCAAAGTTAGCAAAGTTGAATTAACATTACACACATTCAATTGCATTTCAGTACATCTTATCATCAGTCTACAAAAATTTTAAATCATTAATTAATTAGTTATTGGTCTGCTATGTGTTTAGTTAAACTGTTAAAGTGTTTGCATGATATAGATGACATATGACTACAAATCTTTCAGGTTTATAAGGCAACCTAAATATGAGCATTTTAGTGAGCTTCATATGGCTATTAAACTATGTGGAAGCTCTAGCAGCATGAGTTCTTAAAGGTATCTGGTTTAGAAGATCTCTCCAGGTGAGGAACTCCAAAGATTTAGGTACATGTTTATCAGATATTGTACAATTTGAGTATAGATCTTGAATCCAATTCATTAATTAATGTAACCAAACAACCTGATAACCTGATTTTGTGAAATGAATATCCTGATTACTCACACCAGTGCTTTATAGAATCCGAATTTTCTGATTTTCTCTACAGAATATAGGAATAGGGTCTAAATAAAAGCTTGTTATGGATTGTAAGATTTTATGTAATGTTATTTTGTACCTCCATTTTGTAGGGTCATCAACAATGCCCAACACCTGCATTGGCAGATTTACTGGAATCCCTAAAACTCTTGCCCCCGTTCGCTGTGAAAGGAAGTTCAAAATAATTTTCAAAAGAATATTGTCCACATGTGCATTACCAGCGCGTCTTCCGCAAAGCTCAACTCTCATTGACCCTCACCCGTCCTTAATTTTGACCAGCTGCATAGCTCCATCTAATGCTCCACAACGATCCGCAGAGTGGTTTTCCCTTCGCAAGGACAAGTTGACCACAAGCACCTTCAGCACCGCCTTGGGATTATGGAAAGGAAAACGCCGCTATGAGCTTTGGCACGAGAAGGTATTTTCTCCCGATGCTCTTCCCATAGCTGAATCTAGTAAACGTGCCATGGATTGGGGTGCACTCATGGAAGAAGTGGCTATACAACAATACAAAAGCATCACAGGGCGTGAAGTGGGCTCATTGGGATTTGCATTGCATTCAGATGATAAGTTTGACTGGGTCGGCGCGTCTCCCGACGGACTCTTACAAGCAGAAGGAGGAGGAGGAGGGGGGATTTTGGAGGTGAAGTGTCCTTACAACAAGGGAAAGCCCGAAAAGGGTCTTCCGTGGTCAGCCATGCCGTTCTACTACATGCCACAAGTCCAAGGACAAATGGAGATCATGAACCGAGATTGGGCTGATTTATATTGTTGGACACCTAACGGGAGCACAATATTTCGGGTGGGTAGAGACCGTGGTTATTGGGAGTTGATGTGTGGTATATTGTGGGAGTTTTGGTGGAAGAATGTGGTTCCGGCTAGGGAAGCATTGTTATTGGGGAGGGAGGAGGAGGAGGTGAAGTCGTCGTACATACCGACTTCAACTCACCAAAAGACAGGGCTTGTGATCGCTAGAAGCTTGAAGTTGGCCAAAGAGGCTAGGTTGTGGTGCAGGGATATTGCTGGTCACACTGAGTTCCACCAATGATGATTCACATTTTACTCCTAATAAATACTACGTATATTTAATGGCGTAAAGCATGGATTATTAAACACACTGTTTTTAACTGAAATTCTTGAGCGGAGAGAATGGGGGAGCTCTGTTTAAAAGAGGCTCTTCTAGAGTTCTCTGAAACCTTTGGATGTATGAAAATCATAGCACCTAAGAATTTAGGTAATTACATGCTATTACAGGTTGTAGTTACTTCATTGCTCAAGTGTAAATATTTGTCTACATATGTTCGCAGGCTGCATAGTGCATTCTACATTTATTTATTCTACAATTATTTAAAAGCCAATTCTGCATTTAAATAGTAATGTTGAAATTGATTAATATTGTTGATATTCTAATTGAAAATTGTTCGTTTTAATGAATTTAACTAATTATGCAACTCTAATTTTATTTGTTTTAATTAATAAATACACAATCGGGAGAGCCGATTAAAAACTTTAGAGTGTGTTTGGAGTTGAGTTTTGGAGTGGAGGGGAAGGTTGACAACTGTTTATGCCCCTCCCTTTTAGGTTTGGGAGTTTAAAAGTATGGAGGGTATGATTTTGGAGGGCTTTTGTAAATCTCCAAAACTCTTCAAATGCTCAATTTTTAAGTTCTCCTAAATTAGGGGTGGACTCGGGTTCGGGTCGGGCCTAGGCCCGGGCGGACCGGCGGTTCAAGAATGGTGGACCCGGGACCGGATCGGGTAGCCATCGGGTCCGTTCCGGGTCCGGGTCGGGCCGGGCCTCCAGTTTGGGTATTTTTTTGGCTTTCCTAACCCCCCCTCCTCACCCCCCACCCTCCCAAACCCCCCTAAACCCATCCTAACCATCAAGTTTAACCCGGCCGGAACCCCAAAAATGAAAAAAAAAATCAATTTGGCTCGGGCCGGTTCGCCAAATGTGAGACTCGAGCCCGTACCCGCCCTACCCCCCGAGCCTAGGCCCAACCCGGACCCGAGAACCGGGCCGGTCCCGGTCCCGCACAGTAGCTCAAATGACAACATTAGCTAAATTGGGCGATTTTGAAGTGTAACTAATTAAATGACAACTTTAGCTCAAATTTAAATAAATATAAAATTAACTATTTGAATTCATCATATATGTAAAGTGATTTTAATTATAACTCATCCATAATCTCTATGTTTTCAAATTTGGTTCTCCCAAACATAGCTTTAGTGTTTGATAAGAAATTTGACTAATGAAATGAATGATAATGATAATCAAGTTGGTTGATAGGCTAAAAGAATAGATATTTAATACAGAGTATATGTTTTTCCATTTTAAGTGTATAAACTAATGAATAATTTTTATTGATATCATTTATCATACTCGTCATATCAATTTTGAAAATTGTAAATAGAAGTACTTCGCTAAAAAATACTTGTAGGGCACTTGGACAATTTATCATTTTAGGCTTTCTGTGCCTGGCAAAAAGAATGAAAATTATGGTGTTCTATTTCCATTTCAGAATACCGTTCCATTCATCATTTGCGAGCTAGTGTTTTTCTGATAATATTTTATTTTATCAGTAATGGCATAATTTTATGTTCTACCTCCATTTGAAAATTATGGCTTTCTATGCTTGACAAAAATGATAATTATGGAGTTTTACCTCCATTTGAGAGCACTTTGAGCATGTTGGTGACCTTGTTTTTAGTCTAATTTTTTATTTTGACGCGTTGAATTATGTATTATTAAGTAATAATAATAAGATTTAAGTTATTTTCTGGTTGTATTGAAAAAATAAGGTTGAAGTCATAGTTAGTTAAATATGGTACGAGAATTAAACGTGGTTTAGTACGTACGTGTTTTATTCGGTAACTTGAACAAAAAAATACGGTCAAAATTCGGCAAAAAATACGTTGACTTTTATAAAACGTGTAAATACGTATACGTGTATAATACGACATCTCTTAGAAAATTTTGGGTTAAGAATATGGGTCTTATTTTGAATGATTAAATTATTGTACTAGTTTTAGAGCTTAAAAAACATATACTACCTCCGTTCCACTAACATTGGGACGGAAGGAGATGACACGATTATTAAGAAAAATGAGTTTATGTGGTTGATATTGAATTGATAAAGTAAAAATAAAGTAAGAATGATTTAGTGTCACACAAAATTTACCAGATTTTATATGGGACGATCTTAGTGGGATTTCTCGAAAAGGTAAAACGGGACAATCTTAGCGGGACGGAGGGAGTAGTACATAAAAAATAAACAACATACACACACATTCAAATATAATATCTCATTACTCCATCAAAAAATGCATTCATAATAGCATAAGTTCATGACAAAAAAGAAATAATGATTAAGTCCAAAATAAAATTTAAATTATATACTTCATAAAATAACATATAATAAAAAGAAATAAGAGTGTACACATATTAAAGTAGCAAATCACATTACTACATAAAAGAATAATTCATAATTGCATAAGTCGATGACAAGAGTAAAAATAATACGGAGTTAACATCATCACCATCAAATAACACTCAAGTTAAACTCATCATTTTCACCTAGATGACGAATGATATGAGAAAGTTTTGCGACTGCTACACTTATTATTGTTTATGTGTAAACGTTTATACTAAAAAATGTCAGGATTAGAAAAATCTTAATTTTGATATGCTTGTTTGGAAAAGAACATCACAAATCTAATATGTAGTAGTATTTTAGAATTTAGTCTTCTAGGATGCTATCTGTAGTCATCATGCAATTAATTTTAGTATTTAACAATTGTATACTTCCTCCGTCTCTTTTTAGTTGCAACACTCAACATTTCACGTTTGCCACAGACAACTTTGATCGTCATTATATTTAATTATGTATTAGTAGAAATAAAATAAAAATCAGATTATAAAACTTAGTAATGAGACGAATTTAACAATATTTTTCAAAAAACAATTCACATACATTAATAAATAAAATGTAGTCAAAGTAAAGTACATGAATAGTGTATACATTCCAATGTTGCAATTAATGCGATACAGAGGATAGTATTTTGTATTATAAAAATACAAAAACACGGGGTCACGGGGTTGAGGTTTTCTTTTTTGCTTTTAAACTAGGCTAAAGGGTCAAATAGGCCCCTGTACCTTTCCAGATTGTTCAATTTGCCCTCCGAACTAAAAAAAACTCCAATTGGCACCCTAACTCCATAAAAAGATTCAAATTTTACTTTTTGAAGGTCACAAGTCGGTCACCGCCACATCACCCGGTAGGGTGCCAACTGTGCGTGTGACATGACAACTTAGGGGGTCAAATAAGCCCCTGAACCCGGCTGAAATGTTCAATTTACCCCCTCAACCCTTAATTTTTTTTGACGTTTTTTAGGGTTGAGGGGGTAAATTGAACGATTCGATCGGGTTCAGGGGCTTATTTGACCCCCTAAGTTGCCACGTCACATGCACAGTTGGCACCCTACCGGGTGACGTGGCGGTGACCGGATTGAAACCTGCAAAAAATGAAATTTGAATATTTTTTTCGAGTTCAGGATGTCAATTGGAGCTTTTTTGGGTTGAGGGGGCAAATTGAGCAATCCGAAAGTGTTGGGCCGCGGGTATGCGGTGCCAGCAATTTGCCAGCCTGTCGGTGCAATCGAACCGGCGTGGCGCTTCGCTTGTGCTATAAAGGGGGAGGAGCGTGCTACACTATCATCGATTGCTTTTAGTGTAGCGTTAAGCGCAACGATCCACAGAAAGGGTACAAGGACCTATTTGACCCTTTAGCCTTTAAAATATTGTTGACCTCCTATTCATTTGATGTATTCATTCAAGTGATCAAATAATGTTTTTATTTTTTGTAAAATACGGGAAATATTCATTTTATACGGGAAGAACTTTTTTTTCTTTTTAAACGGACCGACATTATTTTTCGTTTGAAACACGTTTTTTTTTGTTCAAAAAAACGGTACATGTTTAAAACGCGTTTTAAACGCAATAAAGCTAACTAGGGTTGAAGTTCCTTTTTTGGTTGAAATTACCGTAAAGGATCATTTTAGTTATTTTTCATATAATTTTTTCTTTATTTTATTAATTAAATACTACGTATAGTTTAAAAACAAATTTTTTCATAAAATCAGAAGAATAATCCAATCCAGCCACTTCAGTCGAAATTTCATAAATTTATATATAACCAGTCGATTTTGGTGTTATCAAACAGCTTTTTATGTTATTCATACAACATGGTTCTGATTGAGTAAAAAAAACTAAAAGAATGTTAGACATATAAAACTTCCCAAAAATGATAAGCAGTAAGTTTTTTGGGACATTCCAAAATTGTAATGGGAAAGAATGTTTTGGGACAAATAGAATATTATTGTAAATTCTGTAAAAATAGATTATTCTTTATGGAAATTTCAAATTGATATTCCACAAAATTTTATTTTGCCCCATAGGAATCAGTAAATCACAGCCGAACTGAATGTCGAGGGAAGCGGAGGAAGCAGCGCCGGTAACGGCCGCGGCTGCACCTCCACAGCGAACTTTTGGGGAGCCGTGGACCGAATTCAATGAGGGTTTAACTTACCATGACCTCGCCCGTCCCGCTGATGCTGGTCTCTACTCCACATCCCTCATTCCCTCTATAAATAATGTACAATATTTGCAGAACTATTTCAATTTGTTTTGTTTTTAAATGACAATTCCATAGGTCTTACATTGATCGAGTTCTACTCCAGGAAGTACAAGAATTCAGCTCCCGTACAGGGGTAACATTATCTACTATTCACATACTTCTTTTACATAAGCTGTGATAGACTTGTACTCTTTTACAATTTAGTTTTCCTTTTACAAATAGACGCCGGAGGACCTGAGGGCATGGGGGGCAAGCGTCTAGCTTCAAATCCACGCTAGTATTAATATTATTAGTTCTTATGTCATAAACTAGTGTCCTGCGGCCTGCCAATCCTGAGGAAAACTATTATTCCTTCAAGTGAGGGATAAACTTCTATATCATGAAATCCACTTTGCAAATATATTACTAGATTGCTGAATAAAACTCCATATATAGTCCAATACAGAACTAGTATCATTTTTGGTTTTTGCTCTTGTTATTACTTCACTCAAGTCTAAGACCCAATTGGTTCTTGATCAATCAAAATTGTAACAGCCACAACTAACTACGATAGTATATTTTTTTGTTATGTACTACGTAGTCCATCATTTGCAATGGAGCCAAAGATTCATTATTTTTTGGCTTGAGATTATGATGGAATAAAGCAAAATGGCTCACTAAACTGTCTGCGCTTCTTTGTTATGGAGCAGCAGTCAGTCCATGCAATCTTGGACGCGATTTTCACTATGGGTCATCCGGAAACAGTCTCTCTGTGCTTTAGTACAGGGGTAAGACTGTGTACATCCGACCCCCCCTTACCCCACCGTAGGTGGGAGCCTTTGCGGCACTGGGGTAAATGAAAATGATGAAATGATGAGTAAGTTCACTGTTCCTATCTTGTATCACCCCAAATCTCCAATAACTGTACCAAACCATTAGGTAAAAACCGAACTTGAAACTGGTAGATTATTGAAATCTGAAAATAACACCGTTTAACCTATTTCCTGTTAAAATCCTTCAATTTTAGGTATGAAAATAGTTTATTCCGTAACTGAACATGACTAGCCTGTGTGCATCGGCAGGCCCCCCTTCAAAAAATCTCCGGGCCTGCCACTTGAGATAGTCATCTTCATCTTCAGAGGTATTACTTTAGAAAAAGGGCTACTCTCACAGAAGGTTGACGTTTGAGGATGTAACTCATTGCTCATTTGATACCCATGATTTAGGATTGTCTTTTTAGTGTCTGTTTGACCTATTTATCTACCGGTCAAGTTGTTCAAATGTGGGGGGGTGTTTGATATATTTGTGTTACACTGGCTACTCCTTTAAGCATAGATTACTAATAACATATAGGAAGCAAACCCAGGTCATAATAACGTTTTAGCTGAACAATTAATGATAAAAAATGACAATGAACATTAAGCTGTTTGCATTCTAGAAAACTTACATTGTTTTTTTGAGCTTGTGGTGTCACAAAGATTTGATTGTAGAAGATATGGTTCTGGAATTATTAAATATATTCTCGAATTTCTTAGCTATATCGCATATAAGCATATTGAGCCATCTACATGTTTACTTAGACTCTAACAAATGAGCAGTTGGTTGCAGAGAATTCAAAACAAACAGGTCAGCACCTCTTAGTAATGCTCAAATGCTTGAATATATTATTCATATATTGGCTCAAATGAGACGGGTGTGCTTTGCAATATCTCCAGATAACTGTTGATGGTAGAGTTGTTAGCAATCCAGATGCATGTCTCAGGTTTGTTGAGTAAAAGATATGTTATTCTGCATAGTGGCTACGTTTTTCCTGTGGGATAAAAATTAATAAATACTTGTCGGTGTCTTGGCAACTTTTTGCAGATCTGGTGCACAACTTGTATATCACCGCCTTCCATGGAAGGAGCCCTATGCACCTTATGTGTTGGATGTTTTATTTGAAGATAAAAATTTGGTACATTCATTACATTTATTTTTTCAATTTATAACTGCCTTTCTCCATTTCTTTTAAAAAAAGTTGTGGCTACGTTTATGGTTTTTATTTCCACTATGTACTTTATTAAAGCAGGATAAATGTAAATTTACTTAAATGGTTTCAGATTGCTCTAAACAAGCCTTCTGGTTTGCAAGTATTACCAGGAGGTTTATTCCAGCAGCGGACTGTCTTAACGCAACTTCAGCGGCGTGCAAGAAATTCGTCAAATTTATCAACTTGTGGAGAACCAAGTCCTGCCCCAGTTCATCGTTTAGGGCGTGGTACATCAGGTGTGTCATTAGTGAAATATTAGAGTTCAACAAGATCATGTTGAGATTTGATAGTGATCATTTTAACTCCTAAAGTTTTTTCTCATTTTGAAATTCTAGGGATATTACTCTGTGCAAAAACTAAGCTTGCAAAATCTTGTCTTGCGTCATATTTTGCTGATGGAACATCAATTGTTCAAGAAAAGAGGTACTTTTCTTTAGCACTCTATTTGGCTATAATGCTATACATTGCACATTGATGATTTATTCTTAAGCTTTAAATTTGTTGCATATATGGAAGGTTTAGCTGCTGTAGAGTATGCTGATTTTGGTTATACTACAGTACACATTGATACTTTACTTTGGCACTCAATTTGGCTCTAATCAAATACATAGCACATTGATAATTTACTCTTAAGCTTTACTTTTTTAGCATATCTGAAAGGTTTAGTTGCTCTATAGTTAGCTGAATTAAGTATAAATGTGCCCCGTTGTACGTCTGTGATGCAACATTATTCTTCTCACAAACTGGAGGCCGTCTAGTACTCACAACTCTAATAAATTCTGGCTGTTTTCAATTTTATGCATCCGAAAAAAATTCTATGGAAACACTCCCGCCACCCCTAAATAGCTTCTCTACTTTCCTTTTTCGCACGTCTCTAAAAAGACCCATTTCATATTTGGTGAAAGAATAACTTTTACTTTACTTCCCTAGCCTCTTTTATACCCCCATTTACCGCCGTTAGTTACTCCCAACAGCATATCACATGGGCAACGTAGGAAGTAAAATACAAAAAAATGATTCAATAAAAAACCGTGCCGTGTTCACGTGTTGATCCATGAATGTTATTAAGAGATACAGTGAGTACATTTCATTATTCAGAAGATAGAGTGGAGTAACTATACAAAGTGTATTTCAAAAGTCAAGCTATTGCATGAACTTAAAATCATGTTTCATATTAGATGATCATCATGGAATGGAGTAATACTATTAGGTCTAGCCGTCTAGGTGTTTGTATCCTGTTTATTAAAGGTATAAACATTTGAGGTCCTAAGAAAACTTAGAGAGCTGACATATGTGGGTTTCCCGGGAGCATTGCTCAAGGTTGTTCAACTGACTCCATTTCACATCGACAGACATTCCAATGTTGAAATCATGAGAGCGAGGAAAATTGTGAAGATTTATCGGGCTCTTGTAAGTGGGATAATGAATGAGGATGAGGTAGATTAATGTTTGGTTTACTCAGTTACCCCCAATATGATATTATTCCATTTTTGCATTATGTCAATAAGTACATTCTCTCTTTATTGGTTCATTTTCCCCTGCTTTTAAAAACGTTTTTATCCTTCTATACCTATTGCTTTCAAGCTTGTAACATTGTGGCATGGGCTTCGATAGGGTATTCTTACTAGGGTTACTGATATTGTTCATAGTCTACTTTAAAAAATTGTAGTTAATTTTTGTGTCATAAGCAACACCAAGCATCACCAAAATTCCTTCTGTGCCAAGGGTGAGAAGGAACTCTACTCTCTCCAGGGAGGGTAGTTCTTTATCTCGATAGCTTTTATTTTGTCTCTGGACATGCCCTTAACAGCTTGCTTCCTATATGCTTATCTGCAACATCAACTTTCTTTTTTATTAAGCATTTCCTTTTCCTTATTCACACGGTGAGGTCATACAAGCCGAAAATAATATTGCATCATAGGTTGTGATTGAGCAACCAATTGGGATGATCCGTTATCCTGGAGTTGCCAAGGGGTTGTATGTTGCTTCTACTTCAGGTTCCTATATAGCGATACTGTTTTTCTTTATTTTAGACATGATTTGTACACTACCTGAAAGTCAATCAAGCTGTGCTAATGCCACCTCTAGGCTTTCTACACAATTACTTTCCAAGTATCCTCACTCAGATGTCCTTTCATTTTTAGGAAAACCAGCCTTGAGTAACGTTCGTGTTCTTGAGAGGCGGGTGAAGAATAATTGCACATTAATAGAGGTATTTCATTCAAGGGCTGAATGGATATCATTATGATACTGTTTGAAAAATTCACAAACATTACACAAGTATCTGTACTCACTATGGAGACAATATTATGTTATTCTACTTATTTCTCTGACTCGCTATGCAAGTCATTTTGAGAGATAGGATCAATTTCCATCTTTTTATATGTAATTTCTTTTATATGTGTTGTATCCTTTGACAGGTTGAAATTCAGTCTGGCAGGCCGCACCAAATACGGATACATCTCTCATCAATTGGGCATCCACTTATAGGTAGCATCCTCCTTCAATGGCTCACACTCATGCAAACGTCATTTTAAAATTTTCTTACAATTTGACCGCCTCTCAGTGCTCTGATATACTTTTTACCCTCATATATTTTTAGATATATGATAATTATATTTGACTGAGCTCTTTATCAACCTGCACAGTCAAGCCAATGCAAAAGAAATGAAACATACATTTGTATGTTTTATCATGCAATCAGTTGAATTCAGGTGTCTCTACTACAAATTTCTTACCTTGTCAGCCTGACAATAAAATGCATGTGGACAACGAACTAATAGGCAAATTTGCAAGAGTTTTACTTGTTCTATGTGATAACATTTGCTGTTAATATTGAGTGAGGATGTGGTGATGTGGAGCTTATCATATAATAGCGCTTATTTATGGATTATGGAAGTAATTCTTGCTGGTTTTAGGGGACCCTCTTTACACTGATGGGGGACAACCAGGGTGCTTTGATCCTGACCTCCTTGATGAAAGTTTTGCTGAAGATGGGTATTGAAGTTCTCTGTACCTTTTATATTTATTACTCCCTCCGATCCATATTTCAGTACTTAGTTTGACGAATTGACGTTTGACTGTACGGGTCTGAGGTAGGATAATTGTTGTTGTTGACTCTCCAGTTTTCATTTATACCTTCGACATACCAGGTAATAACTCTGTACTCTAAAAAGACGCAAGGTACATCAACTAGCCTCAATTGGGAATCCCTGCTACTCTTCACGAGTGCAGGTCCCATCCATGACTAATGATCCGGTCATGGTCGCACTCATCTGTCTGCAGTTGTGCCGTCACTGAGAAGCGGGAAAACCAGACGTCCCCGTGGGGTGGAAGTTGAAACCAGAGCTGCTGTACACGCCGGGGTATTCTTTCTTGACTGCGTATGACACCACTGCCGCCACAGATAGGTTGTGGTGGTTTCACATAACTCCGGCGGCAGCTGTAAATGGTTTTTTCCCAGCGATGGCGACTCTGCTACTCTCTTCTGCTAATGCGTCACTTAACTACGGTGGCAAAGCCCGCGATGGAAGATCCATTCTGAATAGAACGAGGAGATAGGCTGAACTTAAATAAGGAGTGATAGAGGGGTAAATAATATGAGGGTAGTATAGTAATTTCACAATAAAATTTTGCCCAAAAAGGAAAGCAAAACTTATACGTGGGACATCCGAAAAAGGAAAGTAGGAACTTAATTATGAGAGGGAGGGAGTTTAATTATGTATAAATTCCAATTGTCTATTGTTTCTTTTGCATACGACACAGTGGGTACCAGAGGCCGGAGAATCCCGTTCCTGGAGACTGTGGATACAACTTGCATGCGCACAAGTTGACTCTTCCTCACCCTATTACGCAAGAGGTTAGTTCATTCATTACGTCATGTGCAATTTATATGCCCAACTCAAAACATGGTTCTTGTTGTATACCACAAGAATTAACTAATATATGTGCTACTTGGTGTCCTTTGCGCAAAAAGAATGGATGAAGGTGTAATAATGTGAAACAACATTTTGGGGTTGAAAACTTGAAATTATTCCGTATTATTTTATCCTCACTTTAAGGAATGGATGAAGGTGTAATAATGTGAAACAACATTTTGGGGTTGAAAACTTGAAATTATTCCGTATTATTTTATCCTCACTTTAAGGGATTGACAACTTTAACGGTAGAGTGAATCAGTGAAATAATAGTTTTACCCCTATTTTTAAAAAGTGATTATGAAAACTGCTAAATATAAAGGGGAACTGATGAAAATGTTCAACCTATTTGTTGTCTTAAAATTAATGCAGATGATTACAATTACTGCACCTCTACCATCCATCCTCAAGGCATGTCCTGAAGCTTCTCTCTATCACCATTGTTCGGGCTGAATTCACAACTCCTTAATTCATTGATTTTCGATACACTGATGACTATAAGATTCAAGATTGCTTGATCGAGATGAGATGAAAAAAATTGTCAGTTGAAGGAAGTGCATAATTATTAAAAATTAGTCTATTAACTTCGAGTCATGTGTTGTATTTACTTCGAGTAAAGTTTCTTATCAACCCAAACAGTTAACAAGATTTGGCAGGTCCAGGGTAAGAACTTTAAATTCCTATTTACCATGGTCGCTTTTTGAAAATCGATTAAGATGTCATTTTTGATATGAAATATCTTGACTCAAACTTCTCATAGTTACTGTGCCAGTCACCCAATAATATAGATTATAGACGAGAAACCGTGTATGTATATTGTATCCCATGTTTATCATAATATTTGATTCCGTGTTTATCATATAGTTACTTTGCGCTTTAAGAGGGGTGCAAAGTCTAGTATTAAGTTGATTAATGAGGTGCAAAGTGAAATGAATGTGGTGCAAAGTTTAATAAAAGTTAGAAGTAACCCAAAAACATTATTGGGTGCAAAAGCAAAGAAAAATAAAATAAACACTAATGCGGAAGTGTACACCTATGACACGAGTAGAGAGCGGAAGTGATACACCTATTACACGAGTAGAGAGCCCGATAGTACTCATAGAAGAGGCAAAGAGGAGAGAGAAAGGATGACCTAATGTGGATTGGAACTTGGGAGAGTCAAGAATGACATATTTTTTCTTGAGTTGGATAAAAATATGATTTTGAAGAAAACAAAGTGGAGAGGAATATTGATTTTTATTATCTTATTTTTTTTTATCTTTATAGAAGATAAAGATAAGATAAGATGCATCACTCTCGTTTTGGATGGTTTGGGCATGTGCATACAAGATTGAGTGATGCACCTGTTAGACGACTTGAATGTCTGCAAAATAAAAAATAAAAGTAAAATCACATTCAATAATATATAAAATATAGAAGAAAAATTCTACAGTAAAAATATAATACTCCGTATAAGTAATAAATACAATTTTAATGAAGCACAGCTCAAAAAGTTCATCACATCAATCCATGAATCAACAACAAGTGTAGTCTGCAAATATTATAGTAGTCATACGCCTGGTAACATAAAACCCATACTCATGCCTTTCCCTTCGCATTCGATACTGCAAACAGATGCACATGTAAATGTAAATATTGTATTTGATGGATAGTCTACCCGGGGGTATGTATCCGAAGGGTTACTGCGGGGAGTAACTAGATAGAAGTTAGAGTAAAAGTAAGAGAGAGAGAGTGTGTATTGCTGAGAATGTAATGAGCGATTTTAGCTTGGATTACAAATGGGGAAAAGGGGCGCTATTTATAGTAGTAATAAATGCTAGATGGGGACACGTGTCATCATTCTGGTGATCGAGGGGTCACCTCAACGAGGTGGCACTGGCATTCGCATGTGATCGCATTAAATGCGGCTGTTGGATGTGACGTCGTACTTGGTACGGTGATCCAGGCGCATGTGGAGAGGATATTATGTCGAGAAAGGAGCCCTCGGCTGCAGATGATTAGCTGAGGGCTCTGAGTACCGGGAACCTCCTTAGTTCCGAGGGCTCTGGGTGCCGAGGGCTACTGATTTTCGCCGTTTTCTCCCAGTAACGTTGTTTGCTTGAGTTGGCCATCCTGTGAGAATTTGGAGCCTTCGGCCAGGGGACCGAAGACACCCCCAGTGTGCCACGTGGGTTGCTCAGTACTTGGGGCACTGTGATTTGGGCCTGCTGTGCTTCCTGGGCCTATTGGGCCTCCCTTAGAATAGTAGGAGTCTATGGGTCGGGGGTTCCTGGGCCATATACTCCATCAGGAGTCCCTCACTCCTTTTGCCGAAAGGTACTTGAGGGAAAAAGGAGTAATTTGTGTTCGTCCTTTGGTGTTGTTCCGTTGTAGTTTGTAAAGTTTGTGAGTAGTTCGCTGTGTACATGTTTCAGCCGAGGGCAGTCCCTCAATTACCCACATTCCGGGACTTGAGGGATCATGTTTGTTGTTGTGGGAGTTTTTGACATTTTTTGTTTTTTGAGGTTTTTCCCGAAGGGGTTCTCCAGTCCCTCACTCCTTGAGGCACTTGCAAAGTGGTGAAGAGGAGTAGAGTAGTGCCTGCCTGCAATATGAAGGCGAGGGGTGACGCTTTCCACTTCATTTTGGCGGGATGCCTCGTTAAAAACCTCATTGGAAAAAACCATGTGGGAAAAAATTCCAATGAGGGAAAAAGAGTGCACCGAATTCCCTTAATGATGAGTCGAAAAGGTGAAATCCCGGTTTGAAATGAGTGGCAGTATTTTTGCCGAAGGCTATCCCTGTCTGAAGGCGTGTGTGTTGATTTGCCGAAGGTTCGTTGTTGTTATCCTGAGAGATGCCGAAGGGGAGCCCTCAAATTATGAGAATGAGGGTGCGATGAATGTGGATGATATTTCCGGTGTTGTTGAGGGGTCCCTTGTTTGTTTACAAGTGGGGGGCTGCGGTGCCCCGAGGGGCTTCCATAATAAGGTGTGCCTCCCGGGGGCCATGTGGTCCTAAATGTGTTTGAGGGCTGAGTGTTCCCGAGGGGTGTGCCCGTTGTGAAGCCGTGGGCTTCTGAAGGAGTGAGCCCGAAGGCACTTGTGATGTATTATGAGGGGCATTGGCCGGGAGCACTTCTGGGTAAGTGTACCCGGGGGCTCCTCTTAATGAAGTGGAGCGAAGGAGACAGCCCGGGTTCCCAGAATATAGCCGTTTGTAATAGAGCCGTTGGAAGATGTAACGTCGGAAATATAGCCGTTGGAGGGGTGCCTCCACGTGGCATGCGTTCGTTGGCTGCCTGTGGGCGGGCGTCGCTGATTGGGCAACTCGTCGGTTTGTAATGATGACTTTGTACCGGAGGCCCGGTTTTCAGGCCCAAGCCCGGATTTGGGCGCCTATAAATACCCCAAGGCCAGGGTCACTTCCCCTTGTGCGATTTCAGTGTAGCGAAGCTCTGCCGAATTTTCTAGAGAGAGAAACACCTGCCTTTGATCCAATTCTTGTTCCAAGGTCAGTCCCCCACCCGTTCTTCGCCTCTCTTAGTTAACTGTGCTCTGTGGCCTTAGATTAGGGGTTAGAATTCTGTAGACAGCCCTCGGTGTAGAGTCCCGTTTTTGTAGTATACCAAAATGTCGTCCCAGAGCGATTCGCAGGACATTTCGAGGGAGCCTTCGGTCGAGGATGAAACCGTCTCCGATGTGGAGTCCACAAGTGAACAGCCCTCGGTGGGGCATGATGCCGCCGTGGCGATGGAGTTGCAGAGAGCCCTCGTTGACGAAGTGGAAGTCGAGGGGTTCGAACAAGAATGCGAGGATGAAGAGCTGGCTCTCGCCTGGCAAGTGGCTGAGGAAGAGGCGCAGAGAGAGAGAGCATGAGGGTCACCATCGCCGTTCTTCCCCCTCGCGACGCCGGTGAAGCCAGCACCTCTCGGCCATTGAACCCGGCCCCTCTCCGGGTGTCCCCCGGGAAGAAAAAGACGAAGGCTGCCGCTTCCAAGAAGAAAGGCAACGTTGCTGATCAAGGGAAGCCCGTCGATATGCCCGAGGGGTACTTCTTCCTGAATACCGCCGCCCTTGAGATAAGTTCGAAGGCTGATGGGGCGGACTTCTATGTTACCCAGCTTCATGTGGGGCCCTCGGCGACGGTAGTGCCACCGGGACCTGATGATGTCCTCTCCCGGGCCCCCGAGGGATGTATAGCCGTTCACATCCTCTCGGTGTCAATGGGCCTCCGATTCCCTCTGCACCCTTTTCTGCTTGAGTACCTTCGGTATGTAGGACTGCTTCCCTGCCAGCTCACGCCAAATAGCCACTCGTACATCACTGGGTTCCTCCATCTCTGTAAGTCCCGGGGAGTAACACCTAGCTTGGACTTATTTTTCCAAAGTTTCAACTTGTGCTGGGGGGCATGCGAATGCCGAGGGCTTCGCGAACCTGCAGCAGGTGGCTCTGTTCAGGTTATTCACTGAGGCGCCCTCCTCAAACAAAGGGTGGAAAGACCGATGGTGCTACGTGAAGCAAACTGAGAGCCCCTTCCCAAGGGAGCTGCGCGACCGGTTTAGGCGGCATGAGAAGGTGAGGAGCGCCGCCCTCTAGAAGGATGGCAGGATCGTGGCTAAGATCCCGGAGGGTCCAAACAAGAATATAACCATCAAGGAATGCATCCAGGAGGAGGATCTGTATACCCTCGGGTTCCGGCGGTACCGTTTCCTGGGGAAAACAGATGAAAAGTACCCGATGTTTGATGGAGCCTCCGGGGGTTTAGGAGGTAGTAGCCGAGGGCATCCAATTTTTATACTTAGGAATATTTTTCTTAGGTCCAATCCCCGAGGGGAAGAGACATAAGAAGGGGGATGCTGGGAAGAAGGCTCCCCCGAAGGTGGTCGTGGATGAGCACTCCACCTCTGAGCCCCATGTTCCGGTGGCGGCGACTGCTTCCAACCTTCCCTCGGCCCAGGGGGGTGAGGTAGGTTTGCCCCGGGAGGACATACGGTTCTCTCTTCCGAAGGGTGCCGCCATTACACATGGCACTGTGGACCCTCGGGAGTTCCTGGGCGGGGCTACTCCTTCGTTGGACAGGAAGGCCCTCAGAAAGCTCGACGATGAGTCTCTCGAGTCAAAGATCCTCCGGTCCTCCCTCACTGTAAGTTTCTTTTTGCATAGTGGTCTACTTTCTCTATCTGTTGCATGATAGTAGCCTTACCCCCATATCTTGTTGTTAACAGGCTTGCATAGCCCTCGGTGAGCATGCCAGGAGGTTCGATGAGTGGCGCCTCCAGAAGGCGCAATAGGATGAGGCAATGAAGAAGCTCATCCGTGATAACGCCGAGGCCATGAGGCAAATGGCCCAGCTAGAACGGGACCTTCAGCAGGCGAAGGCTGCGGTGGAGAAGGCGGCTAACGATAAAGCTGAAGCTGAGAGGGCTGCTGCTGAGGCCGCGAAGAAAGCCTCCGAGGATGCAGAGGCCGCCAAAGCGGAGGCCGCTGCCGGTGCTGTTGCTGCTTTTATGGCCGAGGGGTGGAAGGCAGAAGGCCACAAAGACTGGGTGGCTTCGGTCGTGGAGGAATCTGCCGACGGGTGGGTGAAAGGCCTCGGGGCGATGTGGTTAGCCTGAAAGGGCAAAGACTACTATGCTGGGGGAATTTTCACCCAGGCCCTTATCTATAGAAGGCTGGCGCGGCACCTAAAGATTGAGTCGAAGGCTTTCGATCCGGCGGCATATGGCCTTCCCCCCTCCAACCAGATATCAGAGTCCCCCTCCCTGCAGATGTTGAAAGGCCAGAATTAGAGGATTTTGAGTCGCTGAAGGAGGTCGGGGAGGAAGAGGAAGGGGCCGAAGGGGACGCCACGTCGAAAGCCGCCGAAGGGGGTGAG